CCAGAGGTCTGGGCGGGACAGGGGGTGGGGGAGGGGGAAGACAGTCCCAGAAGGTCTGGGCAGGACATGGGGAGAAGGGGAGCTCCAGAGACAACCTCTGGGGGAGGTTCCAGAAAGCCTGGGCAGGACTGGGGCAGTGGCGAGGACTTCAGAGTGACCACGCCAAATGCTGGACGGGATACAAAGAAACCAGGTTGTTCACGCATTGCTGGTTACATGAAAAAAATGGCGCAGCAGATGTGTAGAACAGAGTGCAATTCCTTTAAAAACTGAATATGCAATTACCGTAAGATTCCCAAATTCACTTCTGGGTGATTTCCCCAGAGACACTGAAACTGTGTCCACACAGAACACATCCATGGATGTTTACGGCAGCTTTATCTGAAACGCTCGGAAAAAAACCCAGGTGTCCTACAGTAGTGTGCAAGCCACAGCACTCGCTCACGGGGGTGAGCTGCTCAGCAGGAAAAGCAAAACTATTGCTGGACGTCCTGAGTTGACTGAATACCTAGGGACTCATTCTTAATGACAAATGAGACTCTACCAAGGTTACGTAACACGCTGTTCGTTTTGTATACCATTATAGGGATGACGAAGTTGCAGAAACGGACACGACATCCATATCGCAGGGTTGCACTGTCTGGGGATCTGGGCGGGAAAGAGATTGATGCGTCCTTAGGAGGGATGATTGTGGGGCCAACACCATTCTCTCCCCTCGCTTGGGGAGTGGCACTAACCTAGTTAGTTGTGATACTATAGTTTTGCAAGATAGTGTCAGTGGGAATGACTGAGGAAAGCACACACAGGATCTTTCTGTGTTTTGTGCCCATATATTTGAATATACAAGCATCTCAAAGTAAAACGTTTAATGGAAAGGAAATTTTTAAACAACCAGATCATTACTTGCATTACTATTTAAATGGCTACAGTTAGGAACCCAAGACTTTTGGGATAAGCAAAAGATAATATGTTCTCTTTACTAGAGGCGTGCTTTAGAATAAGGACATGACAAGATTGAAAAAAATATATAGAAAAGGGTCTACAATTTGAATGCTGCCCAAGGGACTCTCTTATACACACACTGAGGCTAAGTGAACATTAACACAGAGCGTTACTTATGTGAAGAACCACATTTTGTAGAGGTGAAGGAATAAAATAGATACCACAGTCATCACAATCCAAATCCACACGTACCTGATAGCACAGGATGAAAATACCTTGGTAGAACTTAGGTTCTAGGTACTGTAGGCAAAACAAAAGCAGTTGCATAGTTGTCATAAACTCATCTGTCTCCATGGATTCTGGACCCTGAAGCAAGGAGACAGAATTTATCGCAGCCCTGGACTACGGTCACCATCGTTCCTCTGAAAAGACCAGACAGTAAATGTCTTCAGCTTCAGAGGCTGTCCAGTCTCTGTCACCCCTACAAAACGTTCTCTTTGTGGGGCTGGAACCAGACACACAGGATGAGTAACCGTACGATCGTCCCTATGATCCAGCAAAGCTTCCGTCACCGACACGTTGGTGGCCTGGGTCGGTCCCACAGGCTCTTGTCTGCCAGCCCCTGCTACAGACGGTCTGAGCAACACTTGCCCAGCGTCGCCAGCCCTGGCACACACCTCATGACACTCGCACGTCCCCCCGCCCCCCCT